AATCAAACAATTTAAAGACAACAATATGGCATACAGTATCCAGATTCTTTGTGTATTTTCCATCTTTATGTGGCTTTTTATTACTTTATTTTTACTTCCTTTTGTTTCTTTTTTTCCCCGAGACAGGGTTTCTCTGTGGAAATCTGCCTGCCTCTGCTTCCTTCAGCAAATCCTACCGGCGTGCACCACCACAACCGGCTACTCTATTTCCTCCTGTTATTTTTTCTCCCACAAGCCTACATATATTTTTAAACGTAGTGTAAACCTTTAGAGTTTTTTCCTTATCTGGATCTGTCTTTATCATGTCGGGAGTGCCGAGTCCAAATCCCAAGAGAGCTGGGACAGCGCAATCATATGGAAGCTGCTCCAATGCCTCTCAGCGGCCTGACAGGGCAGGCTGAGGCGGCAGGTTTCCCTCTTTCTCTGGGCACCTTGGGGCATGGAGTCATCCCCCTCACTGACACCATTCTGTTACGATAAATCTTTCCGCCAAAGCTGCCCAAGCCCTACCGCCACGTGTGGGGTCTCTGCCAGCCACCTGAGTTCTGCCTGCTGCATGGATGGTCAAAATAATACAGAGACATATTATGTACAAATGCTGCTTGGCCAATGACTAGGATTCTCATCTGTTAGCTCAGTCTTAATTACCATAAATCTATATATTTTGTAAGACTTATCTTATAGAGGATGCCTTTCGCTGGCACCCTTTCTTGCCGGTGGCTCACATCCTGCTGCTGGAGGATGCGAAGGGGAAAAGGACCACAACACATTTTTGTGTCATTAAACAAATGTTCCACAGCATAAACAAATGTAACAATCTTAAAATAATATTCCACAAGAGCTTTCACTTCCTAATCATAAATCATCTCATGAGTCATGAGACAAGATTTAGACAAGATTTCACTGTGTATCCCTGATTGGCCTGCAACTAGCTATGTAGGTCAGGTTGGTCTCAAAGTCACAGAAATCCACCTGCCTTTGCTTCAGAGAGCTGAGATTAAAGAGGTGCACCATCACACCCTGCTAGGTCCTTTTTAAAAATATTTTATTATTCTTTGACACTTTCATACATGTATACAGTGAACCTCAATCAAATCCACAGGATCTTGCTTTGTTTATTTTGGGGGGGGAGGGCAGCATTCTCACATTATAGTCCATGCTGGTTTAATAAACTTACTCCTGCCTCTACAGGTCAAGTGTCAGGTTTAGAGGCAAGTCCCACCACTCCCAGTGAGTAATGTATTAGTTAACACTGAAGGGGGAAGGGAGAATAGGCTCAGCTTAAAGATCTGAAAATGACACACAGTCAATCACAGCTAAGAGGTGGTAGAGAAGAGGGCGAGGAGAACACAAGGATAAGCCTCAAGCTCTCTGTACTGTAATGCCAAGCTATATGCCTTCCAGTCCTGACTTTTCCTTACAAGTGTGTCCGTGGACCAGATCCAATTTGCTTACTCATAAAATGTGGAAATTGGCAGCTCTTCTTGAAGCCTGCACCCATGTCTCTAATGCATAGTATTCTTTTTTCCCCTTGAAACAGGGTATCTCTCTAGAAACAGGCTGCTCTAGAACTCAATTTATAATTCGGGTTGGCCTCAAACAGTTAATAATCTGTCTGCCTCATCTTCTGGACTCCTGAGATTACAGGCATGAGCCACCACACCCAGGTTTTTGAGTGCTAGAATTCACATATACTGTTTACTCAGTTTACTACTGTGCTTTTCCTAACAATCACAAGTGTCACCACCTCTACCCTGTTCCTCAACTCTGCAGTGTGAGACTATCCATTATCTATTTAACAAACTCTCAACCTGAGCTGGAGAGATGGTTCAGCAATTAAGAGCACTGACTGCTCTTCCATGGATCACAGTTTGAGTCTCAGCACCCCAA